CAGCACCACATAAGCAAAAAGAAAAAAGCCGGAAGTGGCGCTGTGGCTCAAGTGGTAGAGCGCTAGCCTTGAGCTGAAGAGCTGAGGGACAGTCCCAGGCCCAGAGTTCAGGTCCCACGACCAGACCCCAATAAAAGAAAACAAAAAAAAGACTATTTAATTTGGAAAAAGTAATGTTTCGTTGTGGTTTTACTTTATATTTCCCTACTGACAAATGGCTAAACATCTTTTCATGTGCTTATGGGGTCACTTATGTAACAACTTTCACTCACTACTTTTTTTTTTTGGGTCCGGTCGTAGGCTCCTTATTCTTTAGTCCAACTTTTTGTTTTAATCCAACTCCAAACCTACCTTAAATTAATGTCAAATTATGTCTCATAATTGAAATGATAATTAAAACTAATATAAAAATAGGTACACTTAAAATTTACTGAAAATAAGAAATAAGGATTAACTCAAAAGATCTCTGTAGGTTTCTTTGACTAAAAGATGTTTTTTTTTATTATTGAAGAGTATTGTTCAGTCAAAATTTTTAAAAGTGTAAGATTGGCACTGGTGGCTCATGCCTGTATTCAAGATCTGGAAGACTGCAGTCTGAAGTCAGTCTACAAAGAAAAGTCCTTGAGATTCCATCTCCAAAATAACCACTGAAAAGCTACCCTGGAAACATAGCTCAAGTGGTAAATCACCAGCCAAGTAATCATGAGAGTCTGGGTTCAAACTCCAGTACCAGCAAAAAAACAAAAATCAAAGAGTTTTTAAAGTGCATTAAATGGACATTCTTAGCCGAGGAACACAAAGATGTAATGCCTTTGTGCTTCAAATCATATATAAAATTTTTACTGAAATAAATTCCAGGAAATGGAAAAAATATATTTAGTGTTCTCTGGTATAAAGTAAATGGAGTTGTAAATGCATTCCTGCTAATTATATGACTCAGAAAGCAAATGGGAAAAATGTTTGAGTTTGAGTAAAAAAATTAAAGTTAGTGGTTTCTCTTTTACTATTGAAAAGGGATAGAACAAGAAGGTTAAACTCAAAAGTAAGAAATGGAAGTGTTAAAGATTATAAAGGGGGGCTGGGAAGGTGGCTCAGTGGTAAGAGTGCTTGCCTTGTATGCATGAGGCCCTGGGTTCGATTCCTTAGCACCACATAAGCAGAAAAAAGCCAGAAGTGGTGCTGTGTAGGGTGCTAGCCTTGAGCTGAAGAGCTGAGGGACAGCGCCCAGACCCAAAGTTCATCCCCATGACCAACCAAAAAAAAAAAAAAAGACTATAAAGATGAGTGACAATTTTGGAACTTAAATTATATGAATATATATATTTTTTGTCAGTCATGGGGCCTGAACTCTGGGCCTGGGTGCTGTCCCTCAGCTCTTCAGCTCAAGGCTAGCACTTTACCACTTGAGCCACAGCACCACTTCCGGCCTTTTCTGAAGATGTAGTGCTGAGGAATTCAACCTAGGGCCTCATGCATGCAAGGCAAGCAGTCTACCACTGAAACCACCTTCCCAGCCCCAATTATAGGAATATTTTATCACCATGATTTTGTATTTAATGGGAAAGAGGCTCATTAAAAATATATTTATGCTGGGTACCGGTGGCTCATGCTATAATCCTAGCTACTAAGGAGGCTGAGATCTGAGGATCACGGTTCAAACCCAGCCCAGGCCCAGGTAGGAAAGTCCATGAGACTCTTATCTCTAAATAAACACAAGAAAACCAGAAGTGGTGTTGTGGCTCAAGTGGTACAGTGCTCGCCTTGAGCTGAAGAGCTGAGGGACAGTACCCAGGCCCAGAGTTCAAGCCCCATGACCACCACCACCAAATATATATATATACATATATATATAAATTGGCATTGAGACTCACTTTATTGAAGATCTGCTTTACTATTCAGGAATAATATTCATATCTCTGGGGGCAGTTTCCTCTTAGTGTGAGAAAGGCTCAGATGTAGAATATTAAATCAGAAATCTTGGACAACATAAGTAGGACTATCTGAAATATCTGCTAAATCCTCCAATATAAGAGTTTCATGGTTACCTGGTATACAGGACTTGGGGCTGCAGCCACCAAAGTAGGTTTCACTGCCACTTCCTTACTTGTTTCTTCATCTGAAGAAGAGGATCCAGAATGATAATCGGAGGTCACCTTATCAAGGGCCCTGGAAACTTTCTTGGAGATCTCATCCTTGTTCTCGTCCTCATTTTCAAAGCTGGCAACAATGAATGCATTGTTTTTCTCTCCATACCTGTGTATATAAATGTTTTTAAAATCTTCAACAAAGCAAGAAATGTCCATAAACACAATTAAACAGGCTCAAACAAGTCACTGCACCAAGGCAATAAAGGAACTATTGGAGAATTGGCTCTGAACATTATCCTAACCAGTTCCATGTCAGCCCATGGGCTGTAATTGTCTCCTTCTGGTTTATATAAGTACAAATATAAGTGATTCAACTCTCTTCCTTATTTGTTTTTTGCTAACAATAAAAACAGTATCGAAAAATACTATAAAGTAATGCAATCTATTACATCTTTTTTTCTTATTTTTTGGCCGGTCGTGGGGTTTGGACTCTGGGCTTGGGTACTGTCCTTCAGCTCTTCAGCTCCAGGAGAGCACTCTACCGCTTGAGCCACAGCGCCACTTCCTCTATTACATCTTTATATGCAATGCAATCTATTACAGAATAGTTTTTTAATGTAATCCTAGCTACTCAGGAGGCTGAGATCTGAGGAATGCAGTGTGAAGCCAGCCCAGGCAGGACAGTCCAAGAGACTCATCTCCAATTAACACCAGGAAACTGGAAGTGGCGCTGTGGATTAAGTCCCTGCCTTGAACTAAAGAGCTCAAGGACAGTGCCCAGGACCAAGATTTTGTTCAAGCCCCATTACCAGAAAAAAAAAAAAAGTGTCAAAATATGTAACCATGATTGTTATCTCAACAAAAAAGGAAAATAAATTATGCAAAGAGAGAAATTAGCATATAGTCAACACTAAAAAACAAATATTTAAAGTACAAAGGAAAACATATAAGCTATTCAAATAAATTCCACAAAATAAATATTACTAATGACTAATAAGTGTTAAGACATAGGAAATTTAATCAAACAATTCTAAATATGTAATTGAAATTTAGGAACACAAAGATTCTGCGCCTGTGCCTTGGGGTTAGTATGAGGGCTTTCTTCAAAGCAAGTGAAGCTACTAACTGTATTACCCTGACATTAGAATGAACAGCTAGTATTTCAGTAGAATTAGCAATGGATAACCTTTACACTTTCCATTTTTTTCAATTATGTACTGCTAAAACATCAAGACTAAATTAGTTACTATGCAATAATTATCTAATGTTCCTTATAAGAAGATTGCAAGTTGGGCACCAGTGGCTCACAACTGTAATCCTGACTATTCAGGAGGCTGAAATCTGAGGATTATGGTTTGAAACCAGCCCAGGCAGAAATGTCAGTGAGACTCTTTATCTCCAATAAACTACTCAGAAAAAAGCCGGAAGCGGTGCTGTCTTTCAAATGGTAGAACGCTAGCCTCGAACACAAAGAAGCTTAGGGACAGCGCCTAGACCCTGAGTTCAAGCCCGATGATCAGGAAAAAAATTTTTTTAAATGATTGCAGAAATTACCAAAAAGTTATAAAGTGCACCGAGTACATAAAAAAGCTGCCAGTTATCCTCAGACTTTCTCATCACAGGAAAGATGTTATCTATTCTGTATCCTCAAATATTGCATTAACTGATAAACTTTCGAACTATATGGCATTCTATGTACTTATCCAGCATTTCATTCTGACAGAATGTCTCAAGACTATGAAAGATGTTCCTTTGTAGTACCTCTTATTCTCTATACACCAATGAGTTATTATATTTAAAGACTCAAGGTATAAGATGTTCAATTATTCTTCGTTAGCATTGCTTTAATGTTCAGACGATTTATCTTTCTAATTATCCTTCTTTTTAATATCTTAATGTCCCCTGTTAACTTACATCAATTGCTTTTACACAAGTTCTAATTTATCTTTCTTTCAGAGGTTCTGTATGATCAACTTATACAGTGAATGTGATTTCTATTAACGTGGGGGAAAATGACAACACAGATTTTGGCAAAATTTAATCATATAAAATGTTAGGTTCATATAGTTACTAAAAGTAGCAAGATGGAAGCATATTCATTTTTCATTATTGGCCATTATTAAGTAATGAAATATCCAATTAAATACAATGTTCATATAGCTAAAGCTTTTATCTTTAAGATTTAAGACTTTTTTTTTTTTGGTCGGTCGTGGAGCCTGAACTCTGGGCCTGGGCACTGTCCCTGAGCTCTTCAGCTCAAGGCTAGCTCTCTACCACTTGAGCCACAGTGCCACTTCCAGCTTTTTCTTCTTATATGGTGCTGAGGATCGAACTCAGGGCCTCATGCATGCAAGGCAAGCACTCTACAATTGAGCCATCTTCCCAGCCCTTATGACTTATTTTAAACACTTAAAATAATGCCCAAAATGTGTATGTAATTAGATTTCTTAAACTTGGATATAAATTTTTTTCCCTGATAATTTAACATCCTTGTTATCTATTTGTGTATTAATATAATTTGGGTCTACTTAGCTTTTCTCTTGCCTGTCAGACATTTTTTTTTTTTACTTCACAGTGGTGGTTATTTTTATTTTTTATATGTTTATTGTAAAAATACTGTACAGAAGAGTTACAGTTACATGAGTAAGGTAATGAGTACATTTCCTATAGAGTATTGTTAACCTCTTCTTTTGTTTTTCCCCTTACCCTCCTTACCTCCCCTGCTGAATTATAAAGTTGGTTTTTAACATAGTTTCTTGTACACCTCTCATTGTTACAATGGGTCAACCTGTACTCTTGTGCATACTAGGGAAGAGATCTACCACTGAATTATACTTCTACTTTCTGAGCAACCCTCTTTCAAATGCTTTTTGTAATTATTTTGTGGGTTGAAAAGCTATACAACCTTAAAGAATATGTGTTAAATAAATCAACTGGCAATGATGGAAGGAGTGAAACTGATCCAGATGCATTGCACTTATAAACTGATATGTTGAACTGAAAATCTTTTGAGTAACTACTTAAAAGACTTAAACAAAAAAAAAAAGGTGGAACAGAGCTGTGGCTGAAAGTGGCAGAGCTCTAGCCTTGAGCAGAAAAGCTTTAGGGACAGTACCCTGAGCTCAAGCCCTGCAATCAACCAAAAAAAAAAAAAAAAAAAGTCAACTTTGATGTCACTGGTGGCATGCACTGGCAATCATAGCTACTCAGGAACCTGAGATCTAAAAACTAAGTTTCAAAGCCATCAGGGGCAGAAAACTTGAGACTCTAAAAGCTGGAAGTGGGAAGGGAGATGTGGCTGAAGTGGTAACATTCAGCAAAAAGTGTCAAGAGATAGTTCCCAGACCTTAAGTTCAAGTCCCAGGACCTGCACCAAAATATTAAATAAGTCACCTGGTCTCAACTAAAAAAGTGGCCAATTTAGTACAGTAGCTTCTTCTGCCAGTTTTAGGGCCCAGTTTAAAACCAGATTAAAGTGAGTCCCCATAATCTAAAGATGCTTGATATTAACACAACTAAGTTGCTTAATCTTCATTTTTCTATCTGAAAAAGAAAGCGTGGAAGAATCTTCACCTCTATAAAACTGCACCTTCTACATCTGATTTCCCAAAGCAGGAAGTTTAAAACAATGCTGGCAAAATGGGTAGTCATTTCTAGGGGTGTTTTTGGTAAAACATTACCTATTTTCACTTACACCTTCACTGCTGAAGAAGTTAAAGGCTCTGACCACCACAAGAGCAGAAAGTTAGATTTGCATCAAAAAGCAGTCAACAGAAAAGAAGTAAATAGGGGTTGGAAATGGCTTAGAGGTAGAGTGCTTGCCTAGCATGCATGAAGTCCTGGGTTCAATTCGTCAGTACCACATAAACAGAAAAAACTAGAAGTGGTGTTGTGGCTCAAGTGGTAGAGTGCCAGCCTTGAGCAAAAGAAGCCCAAGAACAGTGCTCAGGTCCTGAAGTCAAGCCCCAGGACCAGTAAAAAAAAGAAAAAAAGTAAATATATCTCAAAACCACAGAGAAACACCCTATAGGTATAGCAAGAGAAAATTGTTATGAGTTTTAAGCTTTTGGTTCATTCTATTCCTTCCTATAAATGTCTTTCCCATCCTGTCACCTGCTCCATTTCCTTTTTTAAAAACCTCCCAGTTCAAGTATCATCCTTTCAATAGTCTTTACTGATCCTTAACACAGCCATTAACTTTCTCCTATCAACTATCATTGTACTTTGTACAATTCCTAGTATAATTCAGATTATAAAACTGCTTATTCTTTTTTATTCTTTATTATACTGTGAACTACTTAAAAGAATGTTTTCATTTTGAAAACATTGTTAACATAAGGGTACCTAGTCCACAATGTTAATATGTAGATGAAACAGATCTCACAGGATAGAGCAAATTCCATTATGGAAAATATCACTCAGCCACTTGAAATACACAGACCCACCAAAAATTATTACTTATTATTATCTAGAGTTAACTTGAAGAAGGGAAAGTATGTAACCAATAAAATATAATCACTAATTTTGAGGAGTCTAGATATCAGTGCTCTACTTCTAGATCTACAGTAAACTCTTGGTAATGCTCTAGGAAAACTTTATTCAGTTCTTAAGTTTCTTATATTGTCAAACAAGAATATAACTGGCTAGCCCTTTACCATCACCCCAAGAAGGTTATTTCACATTTTTTATTATATTTTTCATTTTTATAGCAATTTTTTATTGTGATTAAGTGATTACATAAATTTCACAAATTTCCCAGTATTGTGGGATAGTGATATTTAGTTAAAGTCACAAGCACATTCTAACCTTCATGGGGTAAATTGTCTTTATCGTGGTCTATATTTTATGAGTTCTATGAGCTTTGACAATACATTTATTTCTTCCACATCGGGTGATATATACATTTCTTTCTTTTTGCTTGGTGTCAGTTGTTCCCTCTTTCCTGCTCATTCCCTCCCTCCCATTGAGTTGCTTAGTTCGTTTTGATCAGTGACTTCCAGTGCAGCTGATGGGTCCCACTGTTGTATGTTTTATCCTGTTTCTGTGTCCTCCTCCTAGTTTCCCTCCAATGTGCACATATATACCATAAAGTCCTGTATCATCACCCAAGGAGGTTATTTCACGTATTTGTTTTTGTAAAAGCCAAACCACCAGCTCCAGCTCCAGGATGCAAAGATACACGGGCAGGTCAAATACAAGAGTATTTGGCAAAATCAGTTCAGCTGTCAAACTTGCCAACTCACCGACAGCACACTTCACATGGGTCCACCCAGAGTGTGAGCTCTTTAGGCAAACCCAGATCACTGTACAAAATACAGCTGTTCTCACAGGCTTTCAGGACATCAGGATCAACTCTCTGAAACTTATTGACACGAATGCATCTGCAACAAAGTAGACTTAGATTAACACCTTTATATGAATCTCCATCACAAACTTTATCATTATTTGTGAAGGTGAGTAATCATAATACCCTGGAGAACCCGGGAGCATATTTAGCATAATTATCCTAAAATGAGAGTAAATATGAATACACGCAGCATCAAGACCACTCTGTCTAGTACAATAAAGTGTTAAGAGGAAATCCTTTGCCTCATCCATAATTGTTCTAAAAGTACAGAATCAGTCAAGGACAAAGAAACATCTAAATCACACATTTATATACCTGTCTGGGCTGGCTTTGAACTACAATCCTCAGATCTCAACCACATGAGTAGCTAGGATTACAGGTGTGAGCCAACACCCAACACCCAGAAAGGGCTTTTTTTTTTTTTAACCACTATGTGAGTTAAGGTGATAACAGAAGGAGAAGGTTTTTTTTTTTTGGTCGGTCGTGGGGCTTGAACTCTGGGCTTGGGCACTGTCCCTCAGCTCTTCAGCTCAAGGCGAGCGCTCTACCACTTGAGCTACAGCGCCACTTCGGGTTTTCTGGTGGTTTATTGGAGATAGGAGTCTCACGGTCTCTCCTGCCCGGGCTGGCTTTGAACCGTGATCCTCAGATCTCAGCCTCCTGAGTAGCTAGGATTACAGGTGTGAGATAGGAGTCTCATGGTCTCTCCTGCCCGGGCTGGCTTTGAACCGTGATCCTCAGATCTCAGCCTCCTGAGTAGCTAGGATTACAGGCGTGAGCCACCAGCGCCCGGCAGAAGGAAAAGTTTAAATTCCTATATAAATCATATAAATTTATATAAATTTAACACATTCTTTTTTTGAGCCACAGTGCTACTTCTGGCTTTTTCTGTGTATGTGGTACTGAGGAATCGAACCCAGGGCTTCATGTATGCTAGGTAAGCACTCTTCCACTAAGCCACATTCCCAGCCCGGTCTTTCGCTTTTGTTTTTTTTTTTAATGAAACAGATACTCAGGGCTACAAGTACGTTTGAAGTGATAGAACATTTGCTTAGCATACTAGGGCCTTGGCTTCAATCTCCAGTATTGTAAGAAGGGACATTTTTGTCAAACTTATACAAGTCAGGTAAAGAGTACATTTCTTTTGGACAATGTCATCCTTTCCTTTGTTCTCTGTTTTTCCCTCTCATCCCCACCTACAATGTCTAAAATTAATTTTCAACATAAGAAAAAAAGTGAAAGCCAGGTACTAGTGACTCATGCCTGTAATCCTAGCTATTCAGGAGGCTGAGATCTAAGGACTGCATTTAAAGCCAGCCCAGGCAGGAAAGTCTGTGTGATTCTTATTTCCAATTAAACACCAGGACATTGGAAGTGGTGTTATGGCTCAAAGTGGTAGAAACTTGCTTTGAGCAAAAAAGCTCAGGGACAGCACGTACGCTGAGTTCAAGCCCCACAAATGCCACCCCCCCCCAAAAAAAGTGAGAGAAATCAATAGAGGAGCCTCAGTTAATTAATTTATATTGTTGGTTGTGGGGCTTGAACTCTGGGCCTGAGTGCTGTCCCTGAGCTCTTCAGCTCAAGGTAAACACTCTGCTACTTAAGCCATAGCACACTTCCAGTTTTCTGGTGGTTATTTGGAGATTAGAGTCTCACAAACTTTCCTGCCCAGGCTGGCTTTGAACTGCAATCCTCAGATCTCAGCCTCCTGAGTAGCTAGGATTATAGGCATAAGCCACGATGCCCAGCTCAGTTAAATTTTTTTTTTTTGGGTCTGGTTGTGGGGCCTGAACTCTGGGCCTGGGCGCTGTCCCTCAGTTCTTCAGCTCAAGGCTAGTGCTCTACCACTTGAGCCACAGTGCCACTTCCAGCTTTTGGGCCTCATGCATGCAAGGCAAGCGCTCTACCACTGAGCCACCTTCCCAGACTCCAATTTTTTTTCTTTTGGGTCCGGTCATGGGGCCTGAACTCTGGGCCTGGGCGCTGTCCCTCAGCTCTTCAGCTCAAGGCTAGCACTCTACCACTTGAGCAGCCACAGCGCCACTTCCGTTGTTGTTGTTGTTTTTTTACTTTTTGCTTATGTGGTGCTGAGGAATTGAACCCAGGGCCTCATACATGCAAGGCAAGTGCTCTACCACTGAGCCACCTTCCCAGCCCCCCAATTTTTTTTTAACCTAAGAAATACCACACCTACCTATAAAATGTTAAAAGATACTACCAGAGTAAAGGTAAAAATACACACTAAGAGAAGCATTGTGCTAAAAGGAAAGGTAGGTTTAATGAAAAAATACTACCTACAACCAAGAATCAATTAAGATTTGGGTGTTAGTCCTAGTCACAGTACGTATGTATGTACCTATGTGTTGTGAGTATATTGGGGATAGAACTCAGGGCACTTGCTTGCCTATTTTGCTCTAGGCTGGTTCTCTACTATTTAAGCCATACCTTCACTTCTGGCTTTTTGCTAGGTTATTGGGGATGAATCTCACAAACTTTTCTGCCCACATTGACTTAGAATCTTGATCCTCAGTTCTCAGCCTCCTGAATAGCTAGAATTATAGCTATGAATCACCAGCGCACTAGCTTTAACTTTTTCTCAGATGTGAAGATAAAAAGTAAATATGTCAATATAAGTTAATTCACAGCTAGTAATTATACTATAAAATACAATTCTCTCAATAATAATGTGTTGCTTGGGCTGAGGATATAGTTTAGTAATAGAGTACTTGCTTAGAATACAGTTCTAGGTTCAATCCCCAGCAATGAAAAGAATAATGTGCTATGTAGTAGTTATTGTTTTTTTAAAGTTGACTGATTTCAATTTTGATTGAAAAAAGTTAAATAGTTCTAATTATATAACAACTAATGATGTTTCTAAAGTGTTATAATTCAAATGTATACTAGGCCACAGTTTTATAAATTTTTTGAATGTATTAAATCCTTAATTCCTAGCCTTTGAGTTAGACACTAAATTCACCACTGTTAAAAAAAAAAGGCAGAGTTTAAGTAACTTATTCCACATCATAAATTAGTAGTGATGAATCAAGGCTTTAAGTCTAGGCCACCAGACTCCAAAGTTCATGTTATTTAACAATACCCAGGGTTGGGGTATAGCTCAGAAGTAAAGCACTTAGGTCTGACATGTGTGAGCCTCTCAGTTTAATCCCTAGCACAAAAACTAAAACTTCACAATATTCTCTGTCCATCAATTCCTGTCTTAACAGCGTTATTAACAATAGCAAATTCTAAGTGAAAAAATGCTTTATGATGACACTTTGTTTTGTTAGTAAGATCACTCTGTTACAGATTCTAACGCTGTAGAGGGTAAGCTGGGCATTAGTGACTCCACCCGTAATCCTAGCTACTCATAAGGATGAGATCTAAAGATCATGATATGAAGCCACCCTGAGCAAGAAAGACTCATTTTCAATACCCAGCAAAAAGCTGAAAGTAGAGCTGTGGCTCAAGTGGTAGAGTGCCAGCCTTGGGCAAAAAAGCTAAGAGACAGAGCTCAAAGTTGGCATTCAAGCCTCTGTGTGTGTGTGTGTGTGTGTGTGTGTGTGTGTGTCTATGTGTGTCTCCAACGTGCCTCAGCATCAAAAGCAGTTCAAGACATGAAAATATATCTTAAGCATATAGCTTAATATATCTTTTAAATATATTCTTCACAATGAGCGATGCAGGTTCTAAATTTAAAAATTATATGTAAATATACTTAGATTTTGCTTTGCCAAATTTAGATACCGTATTTTATACTATTTTTCACTCTACACATTGACTACTTATACATTATCTACTTACTTTTCAAAAACAAGATTTTAAAACTTGCACATATAGTCTATCATTTACTTAATGTTGAGAGTTCTTTCCAAGTTTTTGCAATTAGCCTCAACCATAAACTGAAGAGACCCTCAATCCTATATTCTCATTTTTATTTCCCACGGCAGTCTACAGATTTTGCTTCTAAATTAAAAAAAAATATATATATATATTTTTTGGCCAGTCATGGGGCTTGAACTCCAGGCCTGGGCACTGTCCCTGAGCTTCTTTTGCTCAAGGCTAGCACTCTACCACTTGAACCACAGCACCACTTGTGGCTTTTTCTGTATATGTGGTACTGAGGAATTGAACCCAGGGCTTCATGCGTGCTAGGCAAGCACTCTACCACTAAGCCGCATTCTCAGCCCCTATTCAAAGTTTTAAAGTGATTCTTTTGGTCACATGCCAATATCTTGTTTGACTATCTTTTCCCTTTTAGTTAATGGAAATGAAATTGTACACTGTCTGACCTTGAAGTATTTAACTTGACTGTGCCTCCTTTTTTCACTAACAGTAGCTTAGCACTTCCAAATCCTTCACCCAATGTCAAATAGATCATCGTAAAAAGCCTCAATAGCTCTAACTCACAAAAAGCTATTCTATCAGATATGAAGATGTGCAGAAAAAAAATCAAATGAGAAGATGAAAAATGAGTCATGCTTACATTAACATCTACATTTCTACTTTAATTAGTCATTCTACTAAGAAATCTCATTGGATAAAAACAAGAAGAAAATATAGTAATTACCTTGGTTCTTAGCTTGTCAATAGAAAAGTCGGGCTCATATAGTTTTAAGCAAATTTAAAGTAAACCATTTCCTTGTCATCTTCCGCCTAGATCTGTCAATTAGTCTTATATTTGTCGTTAAGTGAGAGAAAGGAAGACCTCTTTACAACAAGGTATTGAATTATGATCTGCGGGGAAAACTTGGGGGACAATATACACAAATAAAAGGATTTCTATAGTTATGAACAACTGTTTCATTTTTAACTGTGTGTGTGTGTGTGTGTGTGTGTGTGTGTGCGCACGCTAATACTTGGGCTTGAACTCAGAACTTCTTGCATTCTCTGTGCTTTTTCTCTTAAGGCTGGTGCTTTATCACTTGAGCTATAGCTGTACTTTTGTTCTAGCTTTTTGATGGATAACTGGAGATGAAGAGTCTCATACTTTCTTGTCTAGGATGGCTTCAAATCATAATTATTAGATCTCAACCTCCTGAGCAGCTAGGATTGTAGGAATGAGCCATAATTACACAGCTTCACACTGAGTTTTTGTAGCACATCCACAAATGGGAAAAGCAGCAACAGAGGGCTTTTAAGCTTCTAGAATAGTGAGATATATATTAGAGAATAGGTATGACAGGTCAGGTTACTTCTAGCTGTAAATGTAACTTATAAAACAGAGTACAAAAGACAGCTCCAAATAAGAGGTATCTACCTTCTCAGTGCCAAAACAATGATGTAAGAAAGCTTATGAGAATTTGGAGTTAGACTTGAGTTCAATTCTGAAAACCAGCTAGGCATGAGTGGCTCACACAAGTTATTCCGGAAGCTAAGATATAAGGATCGTCAGTTTGAAGCTAGCCTGAGCAGGAATGCCTGAATCTCTTGTCTCCAATTAAGCATCAAAAAACTGGAAGTTTTTTGTGGCTCAAGTGCTAGAGCACTCCAGGACACCACCTGGGCCCTGAGTTCAGGCCCCCTCAGCACTGGCACAAAAAGGAAAAAAAAAAAGGAAAGGATTCCAAAGCCAGTTTTTACCAGTTGTGGATCATAGATAACTTACCTTCATCTACAATTTTAGTAGCTTTTATCACGAAGAATTGTTCATAGCATAAATAAAATCAGTCTTCTCAGTGTGAAGAACATACCAGGTATCTAATAACTAACCTTGGCTCAATTTGTCCATAAAATTTGTCTCTTTAAAACATATGTAATAATATGCTGGATGCCAGTGGCTCATGCCTGTAATCCTACCTACTTAGGAGGCTGAGGTTGGAGGACTGTGTGGTTGAAAGCCAGCCTGGGCAGGAAAATCCACGAGACTCTTATCTCTAATTAACTACCAAAAGACAGAAATGGTGCTATGGCTCAAAGTGGTAGAGCACTAGCCTTGAGCACAGAAACTCAAGGACAGTGTCAAGGCTCTGAGTTCAAGTTCCAGGAAAGGCACAAACCAGACAAACAAAAAAAGCATATAATATACTTTTACATACAAGAATTATTTCCTCAAAACCTTATATACCCATTTATGGTTGATTAGAAGTGCTTAAGAATTGTGAAAAGCCCCAAGTACCCATGCTATAGGAGTGTACTCAGTCAGGAGCCAGACTATAACCACAAGAGCCTACGAGCCTATGGCACTGGCCTCTCTAAGCAGTAGGACTCCCATCAACAAACACCTGCACTTTGATTAACTGGAGATAATCTCAGGGACTTTCCTGCCTGGGTTGGCTTTGAACCATGATCCTCAGATACCAGCCTCCTGAGTAGCTAGGATTACAGATGGGAGCTATCAGGCCAAATACCTACATTTTAAAATGAGTAAGGAGCCAGCCGATAGTTACGTATTTTGCAGATAAAACTGGCACGGTCAAGGCAGCCTTCACTCCTCTAGCCTTGTACTCATTTCAGAGTCAAACTATTTCTTCACTTAGTACAACACAACCATACAATGCAATTTGTTACCGGTAGGCCTGTCCTTTCGATGGTTTTTCTGGATACCAGTGATTTTTGTACTTCTCTTGAAGTATCAGAGTCAATTTCTCAGCAAACATCTCAACTGCCTCTTTTTTCAACTTGTCATGTTTTCGAACCAGTCTTGTAAAAAAGAAGACAACGGCAGCAATTTCATTCTTCATTTTCCCTGCAAAGATAAAACATGTTTTCTTAAAAACAAAGTATATAAAGTAGAAGATAAAGTTTTGTAAAACATTCCTCCTTACAGATTCCTCTCCTTCTTCCAGTTTTATCTTGTGCTTCACAGACTCATATCTAGAATTGGGAACAATCGTCATATTTAGGCCACAAAGACCTATTATAAAATACTGCCTGAGAATCATAGTACTTATCTTTGTGAATATGGAGCATACCAAATGGTTGCTGTTGACTGAAATAACATTAAAAGATACCACTCAAGAAGAACCACAATGATATATAGGTGTTATTATACATGTCAATACTTAGATACAACAATTGACCTTTAAAATTCAGTAAAATGATTTGGAAAAACCACACAAAAAGGTGTATTGTAGAGTCATTTTGGAAATGTTTTGCAAGTCCATAAGTTACCATATTCTTCACTCATTCCACGTTTTACCTTATGCCCAAGAAAAATGCATAGAAATGGTCCTAACAACATTATTCCAAATAGTCAGAGCAGAAACTACCCAAATGTGTATCAACTGATGAGTGACAAATACAGTGTGGTATACACAATGTAGTGGAATATTATTTGGTAATTAAAAGGAGTGAAGTACCAATATATGCCAGTTATGAGTGAAGCTTAAAATACCCTATGGAAAGAAACCAGATACAAAAAAACACACATCATATTCTATTAATATGCAATGTTCAGAATAGGTAGATCGGTCAGAATGAAAATATATTAGTGGCTTAGAGGCAAGAAAGGAAGTCAAAGGAAGAGTAATACTAGTAAATTCAAGAATATTTCCTGGGGGGCTGGGAAGGTGGCTGAGTGGTAGAGTTCCTGCCTTGCATGCATGAGGCCCTGGGTTCGATTCCGCAGCACCACATAAGCAAAAAGAAAAAAGCCGGAAGTGGCGCTGTGGCTCAAGTGGTAGAGCACTATCCTTGAGCTGAAGAGCTGAGGGACAGCGCCCAGGCAGAGTTCAGGCCACATGACTGGACCCAAAAGAAACAAAAACAAAAAAACCAGAAACAAAAACAAAAAAAAAAACAAAAACAAAGAATATTTCCTGGGACAATAAAAATATTGTAAAACTGAGTATTACTTTTTGTTGTTGCCAGTTCTGAAGCTTGAACTCAGGGTCTGGGTACTGTCTATGAGCCTCTTTTGCTCAAGGCTAGTGCTCTACCACTTGGGCTGCAGTGCCACTTATGGCTTTTTCTGAGTAGTTTATTGGAGATAAGAGTCTCACAGACTTTGCCGTTCCGGCTGGCTTTGAACTGCAATCCTCAGATCTCAGCTTCCTGAGTAGCTAGGATTACGATGTGAGCCACTGGTGCCCTGTTTTAAAATTGAGTATTATAACAGTTGCAAAACTGTAAATATACTAAACTACTAAAATGTGTTTTTAAAAAGAGGTGAGTTGTACAGTATGTAATTCACCTCAATAGAGCAGTAAAATATAAAGAAATTTCAATATTGAATTTCCATAAGTACTTTCAGGAACAGAGCTTTAATCTCCTAAAAGACAAAAACTAATGCCGGGCGCCGGTGGCTCACACCTGTAATCCTAGCTACTCAGGAAGCTGAGATCTGAGAATCACAGTTCAAAGCCAGCCTGGGCAGGAAAGTCCATGAGACTCTTATCTCCAATAAAAGCCAACCGAAAACTAGAAGAGGTGCTGTGGCTCAAGCGATAGAGCACTCGCCTTGAGCTGAAGAACGCAGGGACAGTGTGCAAGCCCACAGGACCGACAAAAACAAACAAAAAACACTAGTGAATATCCACATATATTAACAGAGTATAAATTCAAGATCACAAACAGAAAATCTAAACGAAATAATCAGATATTTGGCTAGACTTTGGCATTGCCTCAAAGAAGGAATCTTAAAATGGCAGATCTGATGATTTATCATTGATTAAGCCATAAAGGCAAAAAAAGTATCCTGGGATTGTTTTGATATATAATCTGTCTTTGCTGGATGAGCTCATTCATTTGGCTGGCTGTAAGTAACTTGGAGTTATTCACATGCAGCATTCACTAAGCAACATCACCTTCTTGTGAGCCAATTATTAAAGACATACAACCCTTGCTATGTTTAGTATAAAAATCAATTACCTTAGCAAGTCTATTTTCCTACACATTCAAGAAATATGGCCAATTCTGTTAGCTTTCTTTTGTCCAACTGTTCTTTAAGTCTCTGGTCATACTGTGAATTCTTTATTCTGTGTGCACACTCAAACAAGGAACCTCACTGTGAAATAAATTCTATATGGTTATCTGAGAGGTGTGCTGGCAGCCATACTCACCCTGATGCTGGATGGGAAGACACCCAAGCCTTTTCTTCTGGAACCCTATGCCAAATTCACTTTCTACGGTTAAACTACTAGGAACTCGGAACAGATCTGCACACAACAGTGTGTGGGCACACACAACTTTAGTCCACTACAACTGCTGTACAACCTCCTCCCAAAAAATGTGAGCTATTTCCACTTTATAAAGCTATATTTATACTCCACCACGGTAAGATGGAAAAGAAAACCCACTGGTATTTAGTACAGTTTAGGAAGAAAGTTGCTGATGGAACCACACTAACCTCCACCTCACCAAAGAAAAAAAGGAACCACACTAAAGAAACATACCAACTCTTTGACTGTGTCATTTTCTTTATTCATTAAATATGTGAAATATGCGCTACATATCAATCAGAGTTTGGGCATTTGCTTTTGTTTGTGGTTTCATATCAAAAAAAAATCAAGAAAGGAAGGAAAGAACCACTTAGTGGCTGTTTTTGGTTGTAACACAAGATGAGTCATATGGACTTTATTTTTCTGTTTGAAGGAATGATGACTGGAACAGCTGAGAAATTACACCCCCCTCCCCTTTGCCCCCAGTACCAGTATTCTAGGAGTACCAAAAGGTTTAAAAAAAGAAAGAAAAAAAGCCAATGAAGACCTAGGGCATCTTAAGTAGCCCCATTAAAAAAGCTCCCATTTTAAATATTGTTTGGTGACGTCATTCTGGGACGTAGTCACCGCCCAAAGCTGCTCCTCAAGTTCTACTTTGTTCCATAGTCCCCGGCCTTGCAGAGGAGTTTATAACTTTGTAGTTTTTTTTTTCCTCTCTCTTGAAACAACAACAGCAACAAAAAGCTAATCTCAACCGTTTCTATTAAACAAGACTCTTGATGACTGTTCCTATGGTTGGAGGGGAGTGGGAACCGTGGCGGGGTGGAGGGGGGTAGGGGGAGGTGTGTGGGGGTGAAGAGTCCTTGACCAGCCCGGGGCAGCGTTCCAACGCCGGATCCCGACCCGGAGGAGGTGTAGAATTTCCCAGGGTCCGAGAGTTGGGACTTTCTGAAGCCATCCAAACCTGCGGCTAGGCACCCGGACGCTGGGGTTTCCAGGGCGCTAGGTGCGGACGCATCCCACATCCCCACCCCACTCTGGGGAGTAGATCCAGTCTGCAAAGCTGTGTCCAACTTCTGCAATCCCGGTGGGCCCCAAGTTCAGGGGGAAAGGCCCCCCGAACAGCTGGAGCCCAACTCCCAGCTGTCGTCTGGCTCGCCAGCCAAGGATTGGCTGCATCCGGGGGTGGGGGCGGGGACACGCTCCGCGGCGGTCCTGGGTTCGAGACCCGAGGCTTCTCGTAGGCACGATCCTCTAAACAACGAACCCGGTCCCGGGATCCAGAAGTCCCCCCCCCC